ATTACCTCCGCCAGGAGGTTATGTAATCATCTGGGTTTGTATGTGTGTGTGTGTGTGTGTGTGTATGTGTGTGTGTATGTGTGTGTGTGTGTATGTGTGTGTGTGTGTATGTGTGTGTGTGTGTATGTGTGTGTGTTTGTCTGTGAGCACGATAACTCAAGAAATACCAAACATATCCGTGCGAAATTTTTTGAATGCATTTCCCATCGGCTAAGGAAGAACTGATTAAAATTTGGTTGAATTTGGTTAAAAATTGAACGAGAAATGAACAAAATTTTGTCTTGCTTTTCCCGGTCAATTAACAAAATATATTACTGAATGCGTAATTAGGACGTGTATAATTTATGCACTCAGTGCTAAGACAGTAATGAGATGATAAACCCCATTAAGCTTCGGCCTTCATTATCTATTGTCTTAGTTGCATTTCACGCGACCGAAATTCAATGTCTAAAACAAGGCTTACGGAGTTACGCATTATTACGTTCAGCAAAGTGCCAGTCCATTCAAATTCTAACAACATTTAACAACATTAGATTACTTCAATACAGGGTGTATAAAAAGAACGCAACCTCGGAATTTCCCAAGAAATCGACATTGTTTTAAAGACAAAAGATTTTAGCTGCCTGGGAATTTAAAATAGCAAAACTGTGAAAATTACTGCACGCGCGAGTGCATAAAGCAAAATTTATGCATTTATTTAATGACACTTAATAAGTTTTTATTTTACAAGTACTGTACAGTACAACAACAGTAATATGTTCTATTAGCAATTCGATTTCAATTCGCGGGGGCCTGAAATCTTTTATGCTTAAGAATTATAAAGTGGATTTCTTAGGAAATTCCAAGGTTGCGTTTCACTTCCGAGTAACGGGCGGAGGTATGCAGTCTCTGAGTGCCCTCTAGTTAAAATTGCATTTATTTGCCCAAAGGGCATTTTTGAAAACTTGAATTTATGTTATTTCCGATAATTTTTTTTTCATTTCCGGGAAAAAATCATCTATCCGGAAAATTTTTTGGTATACCCAGAAAATTTTTTTCATATTTAGGAAAAAATGTGATATATCCGGAAAATTTTTTTGGCATGTCCGGAAAATTTTTTATCTCTAAAACATAGCTGAAACCAATTATACCTGATCATCTTGACTGTCCCGCTGACTTTCCTATTATAAGAAAAGACAAATTGTCGAAGAGGCGGTGTGGCGACTATTTGTAGAAATGATTGAAAAATGCAGATAATGCCAAACTCGGACAATCCGTTTGAATGTTTATGGACAAAAATTGACACAGAAAACTCAACTGTCTATGTCGGAAATATATACCACCCTAATTGAATATTTGATAGATACATGCCAACAAATACTGTCTGCTAAACCAAACTCAAGGATAATCATTGCGGGAGATATCAATAAATTAAATGTTCGAAATCTGCTCAAACAGATGTCACTCATCCAACTTGTTAAAGTTCCCACAAGGGGTCAAAACATACTTGATGTCTTCATTACGAACGCTCCTCATGATTGGAAAAGAGTTAAAGTGGTGAAAAGCTTAGTAAAATCTGATCACGATATGGGAGGGTGGGAAAGGGGGGGGGTATGGATCACGTTTCACAACGAAAAAAAAGCCGTTTCACGATTCATGTGTCTTAAAAAAGCAATTTCACCGCGGAAGACTAGATTCTAATAAAATAATATAATAATAATAGGTTTATTAAGAGTATGTTTAATGCATGGTACAGTATCTACGCTTTAAGTTCTCTCACTTCTCTACCTGTCAGTTAAAAACTACATCATAACCTACAAGTTTGAGTGACGAGCATGTACGACGACCTCCGCACGTGTGAGGAACCTTGTCCTCAGCGTCAGGAACCTTGTCCTCAGCGTCAGGAACCTTGTCCTCTGCGTCAGGAACCTTGTCCTCAGCGTCAGAAACCTTGTCCTCAGCGTCAGGAACCTTGTCCTCGGCGTCAGGAACCTTGTCCTCGGCGTTAGGAACCTTGTCCTCAGCGTCAGGAACCTTGTCCTCAGCGTCAGGAACCTTGTTTTCAGCGTCAGAATCCTTGTCCTCAGCGTCAGGAACCTTGTCCTCGGCGTCAGGAACCTTGTCCTCGGCGTCAGGAACCTTGTCCTCGGCGTCAGGAACCTTGTCTCGGCGTCAGGAACCTTGTCCTCAGCGTCAGGAATTACCTTGAACCCTCTTTTTATTATACAAACAGTTTATTTACGTTTTTATTTTATTTTATGTTCTTGCAAGGCTTGACTGTTGTGTCTTGATAATTTATCATACTCTAGAATCATGAAAATATAAATAGTTTTCGAATAAAATTCTATATTTTGGATACCGAAATGTAAACAAAGCCTTTGTTTACATATGGACTGTGCTGCATCTTTAAGTTCTAAATCAGTTCCAATTTCTGTGAATAATGCACAAATTTTGAGGTGCGCGCAGTTCTGCCGTGGAAGAGATTGGTGAGAGTGACGGCGTAGATCTTACGATACATACGAAATCTACGATTAAAAACAAAACCCGAAGATATTGTCGACCCGTTAACAGCTGTTGAGTTAGAACAGCTGAAGAGTTATGGATCAAGACAGCACAAGAAGAGTTACACGAACGTGTTAAGAACAAAGAGTTCAATATGCTTAGTCCATTCACAGATGACAGAGGAATCATAAGAATCATCCAGTACTTCTTCCTAAGAACCACCACATTTCATACCTGATTACCAAAGATGTACATCAGATTACTCACACTGGGATAGCGTCGACAGCGTCGAAAACAAGAAGAAAATTTTGGATTATCCGAGTGCAAAATTTGGCAAAGTTAATCAAGAGAAAATGTATTTACTGTAAGAAGTCGCATCCAAAGATTGAATCGCAAGTTATGGCCGAACTGCCGTAGATAAGATTGATGCCTCAAACGCCTCCATTTTACCATACAGCTTGTGACTATTTCGGTCCGTATAAAGTCAAAATTGGAAGAAATAAAACCACTAAACACTATGTTGTAGTGTTTACTTGTCTGAATACTCGGGCAGTTCATTTGGAACTTGCAACAGACTGTTCAACAATGGAATTCATTCAAGTACTCCGAAGATTCTTCGAAATTAGAGGTTACCCTTCATTAATGTTGAGCGATAATGGAACACAACTGGTCGGCGCAGAGAGCGAACTAGCAAAGATGATCCAAGGTTGGGATGGGAAGAAACTCAAGGAGAATGCAGCAGATAAAAGAATGGAGTGGAAATTCATTACACCTAATGCCCCACATCAAAACGGATGTGCCGAATCGTTGGTAAAAAGTTGCAAATTAGCCCTTAAACAAGCTATGGGAGATAACCTTCTCACACCATTTGAATTGCACACCGTACTGCTTGAAGTAGCAAATCTGGTAAACCAACGACCAATTGGTAGACCAATCAAAGATCCCGATGATGGTACATACGTATGTCCGAATGACCTTTTATTAGGAAGAGCTTCTTCGCATGTTCCACAAGGACCATTCCTGAAGACAAAGAACCCGCGTCATAGAGTTGAATTTCTACAACAGATTCTTGACTTGTTTTGGAAACGATGGACCAGAGACGTCTTCCCCTGTTTAGTTTCACGAAAGAAATGGGATGTTCAACGACGCGATGTCAAAGTCAACGATATTGTGCTGTTAGTTGACTCGAATGCGGTACGAGGCAATTTGACGATCGGAAGAATTATTGAAGTTCACCCAGGTAAAGTTGGAAAAGTTCGAAATGTAACAGTTAAAACACAAAATGATAATTACCGAAGACCTATTACTAAAATCTCAGTAATACATCCCGTGGACGGAGAATAGAATGAGAACAATGTCCTCATTGGGGTGGAGGATGTTTTGCTAATTTTAATATAGATCAGTAATTACGTCATTGAACAGACACAGTCACGTGACAGAAAAATAGCGGGAAATAAACACGTTGGTTTTAAGTTGTTTGCTCGAGGTTTAACGTTCAGAAATAGGTT